ATCCGATTTTATATCACGACTTGGCTTGAAAGCCATTTTGATTTGCTATCAAAACGAGGAGTTCAGCAATTATTTAAATCCAAGGTAGCCACAAATAATTCCAGTCCTCGACTGCCTATTTTTTAGGGGTTGAGATGAACTCAATAAATTGCTCTACTCCCATGGGTCTTGAATTCCCTGGGTTGTATTTCGTGTTTAAAACTTATCCCACCATCTTTTTGGTATAACATAATTTATATCATTGCAGAGGAATAAGTCAAAAGGAAGTCAAGAAAAAACCAGGGAAGCCAGAAGGCATGAAGGTATTTACAACTTGGAACTTTTAACACATAGTTATTTAGAGTAACATATGGGATATCCTAATGTTATACTTAACTGTTTAAAGCCTGGCTGTCTTTCAACCTGAAAAATCACACAAACTGCACGCAACGCATGTGTAGCTTTTGAATGTCTTAAGTAGTAGTTAGCCTTAAAAGTTGCAAAACGAGCGGTTGTTAAATTTAAAGTAAATAAATGCGGTCACTTGAAGAAGGAACAGCTCTATGCATTTTACGTTTGCAGGAGAGTAGTATGGCACTGAGCAAATCTCTTATGTTCAACTTTTCAGCTGTGACTCATGCAATTAAAACTGATCCGTCACAAACAACTATCTTGTTAGGAGAGGAAAATTTGATTCATGGGGACTTTTCTCGGCATATTCTGTTCCACATTCAAGCACTGTTTCCGACTAATTTCATTCAAAAACGTCAGGATTCATTTCCACTTTATTGGCAGTCGAGTCGAAAACCAAATGTTAAAGTTTAACGCTCAGCGTTACCCCAATTTTCTGCTACGATTTTCCGGCTGACTCTATACAAAAAGCACGAACGATGTACATGTATTTTAAAGGTAAATAGGAAGGGTGTCCTTTTCCTCGATTTCGAAAAAACTAACCCGCTTCAGAACCTTTGAATGGTATTTGCGAAAGCAACTGACTATAGAGGTTATTTGGACAGTTTTGAAAAAAACAAAAGCTAGGTCTTACTGATTGATATATATTTTTTTGTGTT